GGTTCTTTCTAAAGCGATTAATAGATTAATCTGATTAATTGTTTCCTTCTTAGATCCAAGCATCACATTCAGAGAATCTGGGAGCTAAAATCTGCAGCTGAGATGTCAAAGCAGGAGGAGCAGAGACCACTGATCTCTATTTATTTATTGGATTGCTGAGTCGCTGAAAACAATGTAATCAATCCATGTTTATAACATGAACATCATCAGTTTATCACTTTTGGCTCATCTGTATTATTCTGCTCCACATTAATGTTATTGTGATGGATTGTATAATATGTTATATTACCTGATTTATAGACGTCATAATGACTCTGCAATGTGATTGGCCAATTGTTTTATTCTAAGTTAAAGTTAATCTGCTGATGCTGTGAAACAGCCAGTCTGTGTCAGAGAGAGGAATTTATCTTTATTTTAAAAGTCTCCCTGAAAATGAGAACATCATGGTTGTTCGATGCTGTAGAGCACAGATTGTTTACATTGAGACTGGTCTAACTAGGGAGTACCAATATGGCGGCCGGTGGCTTCACTTTAACCCGTACTACCAACGAGCAATCAGCATCCAGTGAATAGAGATCAGTGGATGAACCCTGGAAGACTTCTGGCTGCAAACGCAGAGAAAAGAGGTTCCAGAACTTTCTACACTGCAAAAAACCTGAATAAGTCCTTTTTTTCTTAAAATAAGAGCATTTTCTCTCCAACTGAGGAGGTAAAGGAGACACTTTGCTAATGGAAACAAACACTTTACATTTAAAATAAGAAAAAAACAATTGCATTGTCTTATTTCAAACATATATTATCTAATTATCTTCTTTTAAGAGTAAAAATACTGATTGACAGATCATGGTATTTACCTGCTCAGATTAAAGGTAAATACACGTTTTACTTCTTCCTAGATAGTTTTTTCAGAGTANAATGTTGTGGCAGAAGCAGCAGGGGTTAGCCTCCCTCTGAGCTGCTCAGTCGCATCCAATCCCATCAGAAACGTCTAAACAGCCGCTAACCGCTCAGCTCTCAACCTGTCAGGAACCTGAGTCACGGCTCCGGCAAGTCACGGCTGACTCAGAGGAGCCGTGACTCAGAGGAGCCGTGACTCATGCAGCAGACAGCGTTCAGTGAGGTGTGGTGGGGGGGTGTGTGGTGTCCCTGCCTTGTCGTCGGGCAGCCGTAGCGTCCTGGTGAGCAGCAGCATCAGCAGGCTGTTCCAGGCCTCCCTGTGGCTCTCTGAGGTCAGGCGGATGAAGTAGCTCAGAGCTTCAGAGCAGACCCTGAGAGGCAGGAAGCACAGCGCGGTCAGAGACGCTCCTGACAGCAGAGCTTTACCGTCACAGCAGCACACATTCCAACAGCTTTCAGGAACAAACAGCTTCTGCTGTGAAAACGCTCGCTTCTCAGCCCAACTGGAGCCTAACTCCGCCCATCAGGCCCCTTTAATGGGATCACTGTCCTCCAGAGCCGAAGGCCCCGGCTGCTCCTGGGTTAGCGCCAGAGACCAGCAGGAACGTCTCCTCAGGGTCAGACCGGTCTGAGGGCGGCGGAGTCCCGCCAAGGCGTGACTGATCCACAGCGGCGTCCCGCCAAGGCGTGACTGATCCACAGCGGCGTCCCGCCAAGGCGTGACTGATCCACAGCGGCGTCCCGCCAAGGCGTGACTGATCCACAGCAGAAGTCTGTCCCACCGTTAACTAGCCGCCTTTCTACCATTAAAACATTTATTCTGATGACTTTTTCCCAAGCAAAGGTCCCATCTAGACGTCTGATCGTTAGTATTTAATCTATGTCTGAAAATGGATTAACATTAGAACAATAAACATGTTTAAATCAATAAATTGGATTATATCTTCAGAAACATTTTCATTTCAGAAAAAAAGCCTTAATAACTAGTGTTCCCGCCTTTTGTAGAAATATTTCTTGTTGTCACAGACCAGTCTGAGATGCCGGTATTGTCAGCAGCGTCCTTCCATTCTAGAATATTTTCTATGCAGCGGAATATCTGATATCAAATTCTTTTTAAATTCCTTAGTAGAGCTGATGGTGCTCGATCTACGACGGAGTATTAAGGCCATAAAAAGCCATAATATTACAAGAATTAGGTTTAAAAATTATGAAAATGAAGTCGGTTTCAGGAAGAAAGCTTCCAGCAAGATTTCTTTGATAGAGACGTTTGAACAATTAAGTTATGATCCTGAAAATTATTTGATATTTTCTCCTTATATGTCAAACTGATGCTAAAGTATAACTCAACATTCCTCATTTTAGGGAAGAAAGGGCTTCTGGGAAGATTTGTCATAAAATACAACTTGCTTCTCACAAATTTATGACTTTACTCTCGTAAATTTACTTTATCCTAGTAATGCGATGATTTTATTCTTTTAAGATTACAGTTTATTCTCCAAAAGTTATGAATTTATTGTCATAAATAAATGACTATTCTTGTAATGATTCTTGTAATATTACGATATTATTCTCATAATATTATGAATTTATTCTCATATAAAATAATCTCTAAAGGCTGAAATGGATATTTTAATCTCACCGTTCAAAGTAAAAATCTGGGATTTAATCTGATAAAATGCTGAGTCATGATACAATCATCACATAAAATCCAGAGTGAATCATCGATGCTTTAATGATCCACAGCAGGAAATATTCTCACGTTTTTCAGTTCAGTTACAATAAAACAAACTAAATTCTTCCCAAAGGGAAATTAAATAGAACATTATTATGAATAATATAATAATTCAATGAGAATAATATCATTATAACCTCTAATAAATCTTTTTAAAACGAACGAAGCTCCAGACCGGACGGTTGCTCTAACATCAGCAGTAAATGCAGTCTCACCTCATGACTAAATATGACTAAAAAGGCCTTGATGCTTTAAATCAGTTCGTGATCGATGAAAGTTAGAGAATAAATCCCTTAATTAGCATTAAAGCTAAAGCTAATGATGACCGCTAGGAGGCCAAACAAGAACCAGACCTCTGCAGACCGGACCGCTTCCTGTAGATCCGCTCTGACCCAGCTGATCTAATACTAAATAGCGACATTTATTTTCCTCCCAGTTTGATCAAAGAGGGAAGTTGCCCCCCCCACCTTCTTCAAATCAGACTAAATTAGGGTCAACGTTTGTGCAGCAAAACTTTTCGTTTGTGCCGCTTTTTGCTGCACAAACGTTGACCCTAATTTAGTCTGATTTGAAGAAGGTGGGGGGCCAACCTCCCCTCAGGTAAAGAGCAAACACTTTGATGATGTCACGCGCTGCGAGGCGATCCTGATCTCCATGGATCATCCAGCTGATGGATCAGGAGCCTGTGGAGCTCATGTGTTGGACTCACAGCAGCAGGCGCGTCTGAATGTCCGGCCAGGAGTCCTGCAGCTTGGGGTCGGAGTACATCCTGAACAAGATCCTCAGGCTGCAGGCTAGACTGCTGGTTTCCTGCTTCAGCAGGTTGGGTTTGGACTTTCCCTTAAAGCCTAGAAGCAGAACCAGAGAGAAAGCAGGTTCTAAGTCTAATGTTCTCAGCTAGAACCTTCCTCCTACGGTCAGCTCTAAAAACACAGATCCCACAGAATCCATCTTATGCTGCGTTCACACTGAACCAACGCATTATGAGCTTCAGAAACGCCTGAACTGGTCCTGCTGCTTCACTGCTCGGCGCTCTGGATGTTTATCTGCTCTGTTCTGTAGCTTCCAGCTAGAGAGCAGCTCGGCTTTATTTACTTTAGGAGCTGGAAAAATAGTTTGAACACGTTTTTAAGCTAGAAAGTCCACCTCCAAACATCCTCTGTTCATCAGGATCCCACTAAATTATGAAGTTGTTGCTCCAGACCTCCAGCATATCGCCGGGAGGCGCCGCTGGGAATCCCCCTCAGGCTGCTGGCCAGCCTGTATGGGATTTCCTGCTGCCGCTCGTAGGCTGGAAGCGAATAGAAAGAGTTTTTACGGTTTGTGGTAAAAACTGCAAGAACCAGAATATCTAATCAGATATTTTTCGTTGGCAGGTTTTAAAATTTTTAGTTAAAGGTATTTTGGAGGATTTTCTCATTTTTTTAAAAAGACCCGCCCCCTCCACATAAAAATAAATGTGCGTGAGACAGCTCTGTTCAACAGCTGCTGTTCTCATCGCTCATACAAGCTTTACTAAACGTCGGCTCGAACCCCTGAAGCCCAACATCACTACATAGAGCGGGACTATATAGTGAACTCAGGACTGTTCGGACAGATGGTTGATATGACCCGACCCGTCCTGGAAGCACGATCCGCCCTCCACATGCGCAAACAGAATAATAAGATCGCCGAAAGACTACGTAATAACGGTACTAAAAATGCATACACAGGATGGATCACGCTTCCGGGACGGATCACGCTTCCGGGATGGATCACGCTTCCGGGACGGATCGGGTCGTGACAATGACCACTTCCCCATTGGCCGACCGCGCGGTGCCTGAATCATCTTTGTTATTAGTCGCCGCTGTCCGATAGCGACAGCCTATGGCGACTGGGGCATGCTTTGACAGCAAGTCCCATGATGCTTTGCGAGGAGAGCTCTCTGTGCAAAGCATTCTGGGAAACGTCTGCCTCTTCTGAGGCATTTCTTTTCTTCTCATACCTCGTAGACACTTTTTCTCTTCTGACCCTCGGCTATTTTCAAAGAACCGCGGTGAGAAAAGTGAGCTTCAATGACTGAAACCGTAGCTCCACAGATAAACGCCTGGAAGTACGCACAAAAGATCGCTAACGGGACGAGAACGTAGGACGGCCCTACGTAAACATATCATCTGAATGATTGACAGTTAGGATGACCACGGAAATAAAAGATCCTCCTCTATAGCTTTAATTTGGGTATTTATTAACCGTTTCATTAAAGTTAATAAAACTATTTTTTAGAGCAGCAATGATGACGGCTCGCTCTTTGTTCCTTCAACATAATCCATTCCTCCGCCGTGTTTTTTATCTTTGGAGTTTAACCCCTCGATATTCATCTATTGTTCAGACATTTGTGCAGAAACGATAACAGCCTGTAACGATCGTCTCCCCCAGAAAAACTCCTGGATCAGCTTTTCTGATGGGTTGACGTTCCGGCGTCCAGCGGCTAACGTTCACATTCCTCAGATGTGCAGCTCTGTGTGACGCAGCATAAAGATCATTTAGCGTTATTGTTAAGGCATTCATCCTGTCCGGATTGTTCTCATTGTCGATGTGGACCTCTCTAAGGGAGACCTTCCCAGAAGCGTCCACCTACCCGCCCTCCACAGAGCCGTCCTCTGCTCGTTGTTGGAGTTGAACTCCTTGGCGAAGTTGTGCGACTCCAGCAGGCAGTCCAGCAGCTTGAAGAGGTGCGCTGATGTCATGTGGCGGTACATGCCCTGATCTGGAAGCGCCTCTTCTCCTTCAACCTCTGACTGCTCCAGAACATCTCGCTGGGGACACAGTTAGATGGCCTTAGTGGTGTGACCGATCTGACTCAGCTTAAAGCAGCTCAGTTCACAAGGTCCTTCCTGTTAGTCAGCGGTCCAATAAGAAGGAAGAGACACAGAACCGCCCAACGGCTCCATAAACACCAGTAAACTTAGACTCATTTAAAAATGAGAGAGAGAGCCGCCGACTGATGAGAGAGAGAGAGAGAGCCGCTGACTGATGAGAGAGAGAGAGCCGCTGACTGATGAGAGAGAGAGAGCCGCTGACTGATGAGAGAGAGAGAGCCGCTGACTGATGAGAGAGAGGATGGAGAAAGCATCGGACAGAGAGCGGGCTGACGGGCCACTAAGCAGGGCTCCAATCGGTTTCTGAAAGCTTCAGCTTTAGGACCAGGAAGGAGGATGAAGATGTCATGTCAGACTTTTGATGATGGATCTGATCAATTTCCCTGAGTTTTATTTCATCCCTACTGACCACCAGAGGGCACTGCTGAGCTCATTGAATGCACCTTTGAACCCCTGGATGACCACCCAGAAGCTACCCGCTAAGGCTGGCCTGGACGATGCACCAGCAGATGATCCTGCTGTTGCCTCCTGAGTCCCTGATGACCTCCTGAGTTTGGCTTGGAATCAGCATCACGTCCAGCATCTGTGGCTCCTCCAAGCACGTTCACCAGCGTCTACTACACCAACATGGCTGCTCCTCCTCCCCTGGGCCGAGCCCAACATGGCCGCTCCTCCTCCCCTGGGCCGAGCCCAACATGGCTGCTCCTCCTCCCCTGGGCCGAGCCCAACATGGCCGCTCCTCACCGCCTGGGCTGAGCTCTTTTACGAGGTCAAACTGGACTCTCTCATTGAGGTTTTGTGTTCAGGATTCCTGATTCCATGGTTGGTATCAGTCATTCAGTGCTTTCAGCGGCGCCCTCTGGTGGTCAGTGATGATGAAATAGAGCTGTAGTTCCTTTTCTCTGATTTCAGAGGCGCCTTCCAGAACATGATGGATCAATCATCCCATCAGATTAAGGTTTGACCCAAAAGCAGTGTTTGGGTCAAACCTTCATCTGAGAGGTGTTCTTCTTTTACCCTGTTTTCAGTGAGATGCTGATGAAATGAAAAGCTTCTCCTGTTCAGAGCGTTAAGCTCTGATGTTCTGATGTAGAATGGATCCATTTTCCTTGGCGTACCTGTGCGGCAGCCATGTTGTCAGCATCCTCCTTCTTGCTGGTTGCCGGGTAGAAGACGATGTTGTCGACGGTCTGGATCAGTTCCAGCTGTACGACACATTTAATCAGCAGGCCAGCAAACAGCCTCTGGTCTGAGACTCCTGCAGGAGAGAAACGAGAGGAGCGTCTAACCCGAAGGTTCCTTCTGCGGCTCACAGGTCTGCTGGGTTTACTCACGGGCGTTGGACCTGCCCTTCCAGGTGTCGTCGCTGGACATCTGGCTGTGTCCCCTCTCAGACAAAGCTCTGTCATAGCTGCTCTGGGACTGAGTGTCAAAGTCAGCCTCCTGCAGAACAGACAGCAAAGAGTCAGAGGTCCGAGTCTCTCCTGTCAGGAACCGTCGGATGAAGGCCTGTGGCTCCTTACAAAGTGCTTCCCCTCGGCCGCCTCATCATCCTGTCCCGTCGGTCGCCATGTCAACAAGCTGATCAGAGCACAAAGCAAACGATTAAACGGTGGGCGTGGAAAAGACCCGCATCCTGCCGCAGAATGAATCCGTCACTCACGCATGAGGGCTGGTGTTCTGGAAGATCTCCAGCATGCAGGAGCAGGTGACGTTCCAGACCTCTGGGCTGAACTTCTCCCCATTCAGGATCACCAGGTTCTCCAGACAGTTGGTCCCTGATCGGGCCAGCTGCTCGTTATCTACAGGAGAAAGGAAAACAACTCAACACTCGTTCCTAAAAGT